TCTTTTCTATAAATATCAATAAAACTATTTTTGTTTGGTCAAAAATTTAATACAAGGTTTCTTGTAAGTTGTTATGATAGTAATGACATCAAAATCATGAGCATTTGCAAATTATGTTGTAGTTAATTATTAGTAAAATGTTCAATATTAATAGTTCAGGATTGAAAATTTAAAACAGAGTCCCTTATAAGTAGTTCATGATGTAACCAAATAAATATAGAAAATAGATGAACACAGTTTCAAATATTTAAACGAACGATAACTTTATTACTGTAGTTAGTTATTTTATTGTAATTTAATAATATTATTCGAGAGTATATGAATCATTTAAGGTAGGTATATTATTCTGCATGAATTAATTTAATCTACTGTTTTGCAAAAAGTAAAATAAATTACTAAAATAGCAATAGTGGCAATACTATCACAAAATATAATTAGTAGTGTCATAGGCTGTTAAACCATCTTCGCTCAGAATCATTTGACGGGTCTTAATCATATTCTCCCAATAATATAAGATACCATATTTTTCCAACGTTTAATTTCCTCAAAAGAATAAATCTTGACCCATTTTTCTCAATTTTCCATTTTCCTCCGATGAAGAATTAATTAAGAATATACTAAAAAATGTTTAAGTCATTTTATGAAAAAAAATAAATTGAGTTATTAACAATCACATTTTTTATAATTACCGCTATAGTATCTTTTTGTCAAACTATGTTTAATTAAAAAATTAATAAATAGCTAAAAAGTCTGATATATCGGCTGCATTGTTTAATAGTTTAATATTTGGGGGAAAATGGAAACCAACCTTTTTTTGAGGAAGAAAACGGTATCTTATTTTTGAAGAAAATGGACCCACTCGTTTCTTTTATGCAATGATTTATCATTTAATTCTTATTTAATATATCCATAATAGTGGACAACATGACAACTTAGAGCACAACTTATGACAGCAGAGCGGTATTTACTAGCCCACCTTTTATTATTGTTATTTTTTATATGTTTTTGAATGATTATAAACAAAAGTATTTTTGAATATTAAAAATATAGTTTTGAGCTTAACTAATATATGGATTCCTGTAAAAGCATTGCTAGTAATAAATGAAATAGCATTATATTGTATTAAATTGTATCGAATATGTAATATGGAGGAACCATATATTTGATGTTAGTTTAAAGAAAGTAAATATTATAATTGAGTTGCCAACTATCAAAAAATAACAAATATTTATTTAATCTTAAGTTTAATGATAACTATTTTTAAAACTATTTAAACTCGTCCCAATAATATAAAGTTTAAAAAAAACTGTCAACTCACTTAGAACTGTTCTTATGCGGAGATCCTAATATCGGTGTTTTGTCATTTACGTCGAAGGACGATATATTGACATCGGAATCGGCATCATAACGATTTTTATCCATTTGATATTATGAAATAACAAATAATTATGAATATTGAGTGTGAAACTAATGATTAGCATAAAAATCGAACGAAACGGACAGCGAAAACCGGTTACTGCGTGATTCGGAATCAACGACTTATTAATTACTTATCCGAGTATTGCGGTAGTGGTTGTAGAAGTAAAGGTTGTCAGTGGTAATATTTTTGTTAATGCCCAAATGAATTTTTTTTTTTTTTATTCACTAGATAAATTCCACTGCCATGTTGCTTGCGGTAGTGCATATTACGCAAATGTATAACATACCTACGACCGATACTAATTAATGCTCAATAATCGAACGCACCTGATAAGTGATAACCAATAATGATCATACTAGCCATTAAACTTTCGAGCGTGCTAATAATTTGACCGTTTAATATAACACACAAATAAAGCAATAACAATAAATATAATATTAGTAAATGAAAGTTATTATTAGTGCTCATAATTAAATTTAAAAATTTAATTGTTAGCTTCATTCTGGCTATTTATTTGGAACTATGTACAGGTGCCACTTATTGATGAAGGAGGACAACAATACATCCGATTTCTTCCAGTGTAATTTCTTAACTATTCCCTGAGAAAATCATTTCAGGATTATAATATGCTGGCAACCCATTGTTTAGTTTTTAATATAATAATATGAGTTCGGGATACTCAAATCCCATAATCTGCTAATGTCAAATATATTAGTGTTATTCTTGATAAAAAAATAACTAAGGGCCCCCATCTTATAGAAAAACCCTCGACAGTTTATTACATCTACTTCATCTAATTAAAAAATCAAAGCTCTCATCTGCACTAATTGTTTCACGTATAAAACTCCTTTGCCACCCATATAGGCATATGCGATCCAAATTTGAGGCTGTGCTGAGCCGTCTCAAATTCGCACTATACAAGCATTCCAGTCGATCATTCTTCTTGTGATAATCTCTGCACCTTGGTTTGTATCTAACACCACACTACCCTCTGACCTTAAAAATTAATCAGTTGACCAATTAGTATTAGCCACCAACTCTAAAAGATCTTTTTACTTCAAACTAAATTTTCATACCAATCCGTTAGTATTGCAAATATGATTCAATACACACCCATAAATCCCATCCATCGACTCGACAAAAAATATCGTAAAGATTTATTAACCTAAAATGTATCACGTTGAAATTCCATCACTGATTGTCCTCCATCCTCGTATTATTCACTGCTAAAATGTATATAAATTATCATAATTGTATATTGTGCTATTCTGACACAGATTGTAAATATTATTTTGATGAAAAAATAAAAATAATATGAGCTTGAAGAGAATGCACATTAATCACTATAAGACGTATGCTATATATGCGTTAATATACTTCTCAATAGTCAATATACAGTAAAATAAAACAATTATTTTAAATTAAATTGTTAAATCTATCTATAAAATAAATATAATTTAACATTAAAATTATAATAATGATAGAAGAAATATTAACCTGTAAGTATGAATCATTTTTTAAAATTCATATCACTAAAGTCTAAAGAGATATCAATGATAAATTATTATTATTATTATTGTTTTTTAATACAATTTTACACTAGATGGATTTATTATTTTGTTAATATAAATGTTTGTGGTTTTAAACTAAATATTTAAGTTGTACCTACTTACAATTTAAAAATAAAAGGTTTCACTAATGGACTTTACTAGATCAAATTTACCTTAAACTTATAAGTCACACGTTTAAAAATTGTATCTCAAGCCTATTAGTTTTCAATACAAGTAATGTATATATCATGACTTCATAAGTCACTACTAGTCCACCACAACCTCTAACATCATCATATAATATTAAATACAAACTATTATAATCTATGTATACATACGAAATACAATAAGTAATTTTGATTCGAAGGTAAATATAACAATACTATCAACATTTATAACAATTTTTTCGTTAATGTTATACCTATATTTATTTTCTAGATCAGTGGTTCTCAACGGAGGCGATATTGTTCCCCCAGTGGGCGGTGAAATGTCACCGAGGGGCAGTGAACTAGTTTTGGGCAATAGAGGGGCGGCAAGCGTGTTTAAGCAAAAACGTTGTACATGGTGCGACCTATAAAAATAACACATACTTGATAATCCACATAATAACTATTAGTTACTAATAGGTACTATGTTGAGCAATGCACAATAACTTATCTTTGATTGTTGACAAAATTTATTATCTTTATTATTTTAGCGATTGTGAGGGGACATTATATTTTATTATAGCTGGTACCTATATCCAACCTTTTAGTACACAGTTTGATTTGACCCGCGCATGTTGTATTAGTTTTCGTTATTATACTCGAATATTCAGTCGGTTAAAACGTGTTTTTTGAAATTTTTTTTCCAAAAATGTCGGATGCAAAAAGAAAATGCCGTCAATATAATACAAAGTATTTAAAGCTCGAATTAAAGTTTTTTTTTAAATGTTTAATATAATTTAAATTAATTTTTTTATATTAATTTCCTTATTACTAGTTCTATAAATAAAAAGATATCAAATATAAAAATTAATAAAAACATGGGTGATTAGATCATTTCAAATTTTTTTTTAATTTTTCAAACACCTTTTATTATCTATCTAAAATCTAAATCAATACATCAAATAACGTATAATACACTTGAATATTGTTCTAAATAAAAGCGTTCCTAAATTGCCTATCCAAAACGCCGTCTAAGACATTTACCTTGTGATGAATTAGTACGAAGATGATAAGCTTGAGACTTAAGTTCTACAAATGACTAAATTTTCAGACCACTATATTTTAATATTTAATATTCTACAAAATTTAAAAATTAGTTTAAAAACAACTACCATGCCACTAAATTTACGATTGCATTAAAAAGTATATAGGTTATCTATCATCACATACACAAAGGTTGAAAATAGATAAGTAATAGAAGGTCATATAAAATATCATAGAAGCTGATGAGATTTGTCAAGATTTTATCTCTCTCAGATTATATTATGTCTTTGAATTGGTTTATTAGACTTCACATTATAATGTCATGTGTTTTTTCTGTTATCTTTGAAATTTTGAAAATAAAAATACGATTTATAAGAATATTTCATACAACGCTTTGTTTTAAAAATGAAAATAATTTCGTAAATTTGTAACGAATACTGTACATTATTATTATTATTATTGTACGCCGGATATTAATATTCAAAATAAAGAATAATTAATGTAACATAACATCATACGAGTATAAAATTATGAAGTCAGTCTTAAAATTATTTAGATTAAGTTTAGATAAGAAAATGTCAAAGTTTCAGAAAAGAAGAGTTATTTGCGTTAATTATTATCAAGTATGAATAATGAAGCAATACAAAAATAGAAAAAAATTAATAATAAGTTAATATTAATATCATTCATATTTCGATGTAAGTATTCAAATCATTTATTGCATTGTATTCAATTTTTAGGAAAAAAGTACATTTAAAAAAGTTAAATATTGATATTATCATGAATAATATACGTATATTATACAAAAATGAACAATTTTTTTAAAATTATTATTATGGTTTAGTATCCAGATGAATTTCCTGGTCGTCGATAATCTGGCATAGCTTCTATCATTCCGGAAGCCGATTTGGCGATAGCTGTTGCTGCCGAAGATGCTGTAGTTGTCAGTCGGATCACTGGATGACCAATATCTTTAAGTGTTTGTATTACATCCTAAACAATACAACAAGGTAAGTAAATATTATTATCATAAAAATATTTTGTAAAAATGTCGTATTTAATATTACTCTTGTCGTTCCGTATTCATACTGAACTTGCATTGGTACAAGTTGGTGGAAAATTCTTGGTTTGTCTATAACTTCTTTCAGCGTTTTATTGCACCATAATTTAAGAGCAGACACCTTAAAATAATAATGTCTCAGTATTTTAAATCATGTACAGTGTAGAATAGAATATTATTTAGTTTGATATATAATAGCATAATAAAATTGGTTATGTTGTTCATTCAATCGCTTTTACATTTTTCGTTACAATACGAATGCTTTATTTACAATAGCTTATTATACTATACAAATACATATATATTTAAAGACAGGCTGCAATATTGAAATCTGTAGAAAAGCAATTAGGATTAAGATAAATTGACTTTAAATATATCAGATTAGAACTATAATAAACGTTACAATAAAATGCTAGTAACATTCATGATGTTTGAAGCACACTCTGTGGGAGTGTCGAGTTCAAGATTTATATATGTCGATATTATGAGTTTATAGAAGGAAATTTTTAATTTAATCAATAATTAATGTTTTACAGCCCCAATAAAAAACGTTATGTTCGAATTAACTTACATTAGATGCACGTGATTACAATACAAATATTCGTTCAAAATACATTTAATTAAATAATATAAGAAAAAAATAGTACAACAGTTGTAGGTACATGTACAAATATAATCTTATGTCAATAAAATAATAAAGGAATTACCTTACCACAGATAATGGCGATAAATGATAGCTAATCTAATACCTACGAATTTAGGAAAAAAATATCGTGAAATAATGTTTGAATGTTCCATCAAAATCAAAAATAGTATGTCTAGACTACGATGAATAAAAGTTGTGATGGATGCTAATACGGCGGTATACCCGGGTATTCGTAGGTAATATTATAACAGAAATCCAAAACCAAATAACTATTATAGAAATTAAGATAAAATAATCTTACGTAGGCAATTGCCAGCGTGATCTTTGATCCTCCCGCCGCTCCTACTGCGAGAACAAAATCCTTATTTTTGTCTGTGATAATTGTTGGGCACATTGAAGACATTGGTCGTTTGCCCGGCTCTATATAATTGGCCGGTGAAGACGGAATACCGTAATAATTAACGACCCCGGGAGTAGAAAAATCGTCCATTTCATTATTCAGAAGTATACCGGTGCTAGGAGACGTGAAACCACAACCAAAGCTGACATAAAAACGAAGTCGGTAAGTTAAAACAAGTCTTGTGATTAATATTTGATGTTAAATTATAAATGTCGAGTAACTCGTGTAGATTGACACTCACAGTGTGTTTATTGTACTAGTACTTATGACGGCGTTTCCCGTCGAATCAATCACGACCATGTTGGCAGTTCCGTGATTTTCTGGCATATCAAAATCACCTCCATAGTATTTAGGGTCTAACGAGGTGAAATTATCGAATATTTGACTACGTATTTTATTTATGTAACCGTCCGATTTCACTTTATCGAAAATCTACGAAAACAATTTCCAAAATTCGTAATCACTAAACGTCAACTGCGGATGGTCATAATGTATTTGGTCGATAAAACATACTTGAGACACGTTAACGAATTTGTGATCGCCCAAATGGGTTCTCTCACCGTACCCAAATTTAAATGCCTCCACCAAACGATGTGCTTCTAAGCCGGGGCTGGGTGCGGGCAACATGCCGTCTAACACTCTGAGTATGTAAGCTAGTATTATACCAGAACTAGGAGGTGGCCCAGCGTGTATTGAATGCCCATTTTTTAAGTTCACAGAAAGAGATTCTTCGACTTCAACTCTGAAAATATTTATTTTCGTTTAGTTTGTGAATCATTTCAAACATTTTAACAATGAAATCTATTAGTTCAAGATTGAAAATATAGCTTCGCACTTTTAGTTTTGTTAAAATTCAATAAAATTAACTTAATTGACAACACACAACTATATATTAATTATTTTTAAATAGCTAAAAATATTATCAAAAACCAAAATTAATTAGAAAGCTTATAAAATCATAACATTATACTCACTTATAGTTGGCTAAATCTTCTTTTGTGATTATCCCATTTACTTTTTTTAAGTCTTCTAAAAACTGTGTCGTTAACGAACCATTATATATGGCATCTACACCTTCTGCTGCTATGACTTTCATAGTTTCTGCTAACTTTGGTAACGTGTACATTTCCCCAGCTATCTTTACATGTCCAGTGTCTTCGTTAAAAAAAGCTTTTCTAAAAAACAAATTTCGAAATTATTGAGCTATGCAATTTATAGCTTGTCTATGTTAATACCTAATAACTGGTAAAAATGCTTTGTTTTTCTCAATAATACATTATGTCAAGTTGTAATGACAAATATTAATAACAATCGCCAAAATATCGAAGAATATAATTTCAGAAAGCTCGGAATTCAATTGAAAATACGATATGATGATGATCTAGGCCGATAGCTGGTCTAATATGTGATCTGCGTATGCTATGTCCTTATTTTATTTTTTTCAGTGAAAGTCGATTTAATGTTATTTAAATCTTTAACAACTTTTGATGATTGATTTATAAAACCATAAACATTGTATATTGTATAAATAGTCTGATAAATTTATTTTATTTTATTGTTTAAACAGGTACGAAAAAACTCAAGTATACATACAAAATAATGTAAGCTTTCACTGTACCTGAGAATTGGGTCATTTTTTATCAAGTCTTCTTCACTCTTTAGGCATGACTCGAGACGTTTGCTGATTAGCATGCCCTCTTCACATAATTTTATAGTTGGTTCAAATAGTGATGGCCATGGAACTTGACCACCATATAAATTATAGATAGTCGAATAGCCTTTAAGTTCTCCCGGAACTGCAACTGCCAAACCACCTACATATTTTTTTGTTTAAAAATGAATAAAATCATCCAAATAAGATGTTTAAATTCTCATATATTTAATATATAGTTTTTAAAAACATTAATTCATATTTAAATTAACAAACAGCAATTTATATCTTTAATATTTATTTTTTATTTCGTGTTTCTACGGTACGTACCGTATACAGATTTTTTAGGTTCTTTTACAAACATGGATTCAGTTGCCCCCGATGGTGCTGTTTCCCGTGCGTCGATTGACATGACTTTCTTGGTTGTGGCGTTGTATATACTCATTAAAAATCCTCCACCCAAACCCCTATATTGAGGACATAAAGCACCATCGCATATCATCGTAGCTATAGCAGCATCAACGGCATTTCCACCTTTCGATATCACGTCCCTTTTACAAAACAATACAGAGAATAAATAAAAACGTATACTTGGCTACAACCATTTTTAAATGTCATAAATACCAGATAGATTTAATGTATATGACATAATTAATAATTATATTATGTAAAAACAGTTTTATAGATAAAATGTTCAAACTGTTTGTTAGATTTGTATTAGAGTTAATACCTAAAGTTATTGTGTGGGCAGTGGGGGATTTACTGTTAATTCTAAATGTTTGAAATAATAAAATATAATAATCATAATATTTACGAATTTTAACATTTATCAACGTTAAAAATCGTTAACATTTAAATGTTATATGGGATGTATATTTATTTTAATTGTTAGAAAATAATCATATTCATTTTTATAGTATTCTTGTACACATTACTGTCTATTATAGTGGTTTTTAACTGGTGGTACTCAAGATGGAAGTACGTGAGTTTTAGAATTGGATCATTATATATTTTTAATTATTAAAAATATATATATATATATATTATTAAAGTAAAAAGTATTTCATTCAATTATGTGAAGCAAATGAATTGAAAATAAATACATTAAAGTAATAGCACTAAATTAATTATTAACGGTTGGTCAAGGTTGAAGATACTGCATAAAGAAATCACGTTATAGGTATAATGTCAATGCATATAATTACACTCCAATTTGTGCACACGGTCCACCGTTTGATACTACTCCGACTTTGCTGTACAAACCCATCGGCATACTCGACGGGGGCAACTCGAATTCCGGGTCGGAGATTTCGTTTACGACGTCATGTTGCGAGAATACGAAAAAAAGTGAAACTATAGCTATCAATATCGTCAGTCCTACCAGAATAAGGCAACGATTCGATTGTAATCTGAAAAAAAGAAACAATATTATCCTTCCGGGTGAATGATAAACGTCAGTGATTATATTATTTAAATTATTCGGAACAGTGTTGGTATGATTTTTAACTCCCCAAATTCGACACAAATTTTAATAATATTATACTTATACATCATACACGGTTATGTCTTAAAATTCAGTTTTAATGTCAGTAAAATGGTTTTGCTAAAAATAAAACGAAATATACCTCAGAATTGGTCTAATTTACTTACACTGAATTGACCTCAGTTAAATAAACATTTGTTTTTTGCCGTAAACTGAGTGTAATAGCAGTATTTTTTGATAAGAAATTGTTTTTTTTTTAAATTAATTAAATATAATATGTATATCCATGCTATTAAATAGATAATATTTCCACTATAGTATCTAGACATGAATTTCAAAATTGTATGGTTTAAGAATTAATACACAATAGAAGAGATAATTAGGTAGTACAAACTTAAATAAAACGTACCTGCATATAGCCATGTTGCGGTCTTCGTAAAAATGTTTTTCAATAACTAAAATAAAAATGTGAATTCTTACTTAAATTGTATGATTAATAATTATGACCATTTGTCAATATTCACTTCACACTAGCGTGTGTCTTACAACTTGTACAACATTCACTTATTATATAATAAATATTATAATTTAAAACTGTATAATCGTACAGATAACGAAAACTAAGACTGTACCTATAAACAGTTATATAGGTAGGTACTTAATACTTTTACTCTTAACGATGCGTCTAAAAAACGATAGATGGAATTAGTCGAGAAATTTGATTTACAACATGTAAACATCAACTTTTTATAAATAAAGATGTGTGAATGAATAAAAAATGATGGAGGTGTAGACCTCGTGGGCATATTAAAACAGTTAGGTTGGTTATACGCTTTGGTAAGAACTCGTTAACGCTTGTTAACTTTTGGTGACTAAGTCACCCCTCAAAATTGTTGCCACTTTAAACACTGGATAAAATGTATATATTATAATATTTATTTATAGAAATTTATCTTTTTTGTTGCTTTTTAGTTTTTTCCTAAAAATGTAGCTTTACAATTTTAGCACAGCTTAAGAGTTTATTAACGTAATACAAAGTTCCTCATCATAAGTTGATAAAAAATAATAGAGGTACATAAAAAAATTTGTTATAAGCATTTGAAGTTTAGACGAAATTAATTAAAAATGTTTGGTCTTTAATTTATTTAGCTGGTTTGAAAATTGAATACAAGGTTTGCTTAAGTATTTCATATTAAAACCGAAATATTGTTTTTGTTTTATAGACATTTTAATTCAACATTTTGATAAAATTCAATACTAAAACAAGAGATAACGATTTCAGTTATTTTTTTGAAATTGAAAAATATTTTTCTTGGGTGTTTGAACCTTATTTATGTATATAACGCATATTATCAAATTTTATAATAATATACACAAGTACATTTTCAAAACATTTAGATTTATTTCATGCTATTGCCTATTTATAGCTCATACCTCAATAATAATAGTTAAATAAATTACTAAAATAATTAATAACAATATATTATTTGATAATATCTGATAATAGGCTTACAAACTCTAACCTAGATTAATGCTCAAAATCGTTTTTCGTATGCAATAATTGATCATTGAATTTATATTTAACACTTCTATTACAGTAGCCTTCTCAACTCGTGGCCTACGCTTGACGTTGACTTCTACTATACAACAGAGCTGTCATCTACTTACCCCATTTTTTTCCAGTTTTTAACGACTCTTCAAATTTTTTTTATTTAAGTTGCATTATTTAGTTTTATACCTTTATGTTAAAAAACTTCATTTTTTTTTTTTAAATACGTCCTCAAACTATCAATAGTCTTCAATTTAAAATTTGTGAATATGAGCAAATTGTGAAACTAATAAGTTAAATATAAATAATAATATTTTACCTTGACTGTAGACTACTATTTTAATCTGTGACAGTAATGTTCCCCGGTATGAAATAGATATTTATTATGTTTAACATCATAAGAATTTTGTTTTTAAAGAGTTAACTCATAGTCTATGAGTCATAGTTCTTTAGTTTTCTTTGACAAATATAAAATATCTTGAACATGCTGAAAGGACACTATTGGTGGTTTATATATGAAGGTATGGTAAACGCATATTTTAAATCTATACTATACCATGGCATAAGCATAATCTTTGACCCACTGATATGATTGTTATTTTTATTTAATTAGAACAGACTTCATAGCTATCATACACAAATTATTGCAGTGAGATAAAAACCAATTATTTTAAATATCTATTAATATTATCAGACAAGCTGAGCGCACATAATTCGATTACAATTATGTACTAATAAATACGAATAACTGAAGTGACTAATGTAAAACTTATGTGTCAGTAAAGTAAATAATATTTGTAAAAAATTGTAAGTGAATCAAAATTAGAAAATAAAAATAAATTATATTCAATTATGACGTGATATCTATATTAAAATAAACCATAATCTCTTTTTAAATTCTGAAAATCGTGCGATGAATGCATTCATATGTCATGGGTGTTTAGAAAAAAAGGAAGTACTAAATAATATAATATCATGTAGGTATAAGTCTTTTTCTTCAATACATGTTGATAAAAATAATGTTTTAATTTTTATTGCTTAATTGAAAAAAATTAATACATGGTCTCCCATACGTTTTAATTTACACTAACAAAAATACATATACTCAATTTTATTTTCCAAAATTTGTAATTATAATTTTTACGAAATTTGATATTATATAAACGAAAAATAATAACTTTTTCCATAACGTATTACATTTTGAATATTATGTTGTAATTTCAAAAATGTTAACCATAGATTAGAAACTATTCATCATTATGTACGTTTATCTAACGACTAGTGTTGAGGCCAGATAAATAAAATTTTATCTAGATAAAGATAAATTATAATAATGGTATCTAGATAAAGATAAAGATCATCGGATAATTTTTTTTTATTGGTTTATAGCACTCATTTCTTATAAAATATAATAATTTATCATAGTATTAAGATGGTATTAGATCAATAGAGCATTCAAAATATTTTTAAGATTTTTAAATACATAAAAAATTTAAATTTAATTAACTAATAACTAAATACTAATCAATATGTAAATTCCATTTTAGACAATCATCAATATGTAAAAGTAAATATAACTGTATTTGTCTTAAAAATAGTTGGGAAAATACTTTCAAAGTTTGTGTCATCATGTTTACAAAATTCAATATGTAAAATAATTTTTTTAATTTTTGAATGGGTATTATTTTTAATTTTATATAGAAAAAATGTCCCTAAACCTTTCACACTGTAAATAGGTATATTAACATATATGTACTATATTTTAACACAAATGAGCAGTTTTAGTCTCGCTGATTAAGAAAATAAAATTGTCACAACTATTTATACTAATATACTAACTCGTAGAATAAAATAAATAATAGCATTTAACAAATTATATTCTAATCGTTCATCATTAAATTTTAAAAAATATAGCTAAAAAAAATGATGAAAGGTTTTGGTGCAACTGGTATATTTTACTTTGAATCATTTTAGAAATGTGATAATTCTTTTAAACTAATTTAAATTTAATAAAACATGTTTATTTTAACTGTCACTAAAATATCTTGTCGGTTCGTTTTTTTTTTACGAATTCACAAATTATTTAATCATTAGGCAAGCAGTTACAATCAGGATTAAAATTTATATTTAATACATACCAATCCTATATTTTTATTAATAGTATTATTAATTTAGTATATTCTACGAGAGCATTATGATTTATGATAGTAATATACCTAATACTAATTATTAATATAACAATATGTTGTTGGTCTTCTGTACAGTACAATATTTTAATATGCCTATAATAGGTACGTCAATAAGTCATGTATAATAATGTTCGGAATTGATTAAACTATACCAAAATCCAAAAATATATTGTGTGTGTATAGTGTATAGTACTGTATACCCATTAATTATTATAAATCAATAGTACCCAACTGACATAATTGACAATAATTGTATTACTATCTTCATGATAATAATATACTCTTTACTTAAGAACACATACGAGTATACTTATATATGATCTAAGCTCTATACTTTCCGTTCTCCAAAACTATAAGAATGACTTAATAATATTATGTTACCGAAAATATTGATAGTTATTAATAAAAACTACCTACCTACTTATTACTTAATGGTATACCAATAATAAATAAAACCCGCTGAATAAATTAAATTACCTGGATAAATTTATCTAGATAATGGTGATTTTTATCTTAGATAAGTTTGTAAATTAGTATTTTCTATTTATCTAGATAAGATAAAAGATAAAAGAATATATTTTATCTAGCTAAACTCAACACTGCCAACGACCAAGCAGGGTCGCGCTAAGTACAAAAATAAAAGAGCGCCTAAAAATTAACACATAGGCAATACAATACGCGAAAACTAGCCTGAAATAAATATTACAAGGAGCAACTCAATTCAAGAAAAAAATTTCTAGAGAAATCATAGCAAATTCGTACTTAAATAATGAAGTTTAAAAATACAATCATCAAATTGGAAATTTTAAATAGATGTGTATACTATATTTTTCTAATCATTCTGAACAGTATCAACAGAGTTATAGGCATAGGTTACTAATACCAAGTTCAATTAGAAATAATGGTACTGTATTCTTACCATTTTATTAGATAATATTCTCCTAGCCTACAATGCACTATCCGACATCAATGGCAACCAAAATATAAAAAGTATTAAAAAAACTACTCTAAAAGTTGTGATATAATTTTCTACAGTATTTTTTTTACACGGAGCCTGGCGGAGTGTTTTTGTAGGTTATTATTTTCAATATACAATAACATTTCCAAAGAATATTAAGAGTAATTTGAAGGTACTCGTTGCTATTCACACTATTCTGTACTTGTATGGTACTTTTAAGTCAATTTTAATTATTTACTTATAAATAAATTAAAATAATATCAGAATCGTACACAATGGTCACCTAATGATCACTAAATTATAATTTGAGTAGAAGAAAAACAAAATCATTGGCTATTTCGAAAAATTTAACCCAAACATATATTACATCAAATTACGTATATCGATTATTGGATTTAAATCGGGGGTAATATTTTCAGTAGTATTATTATTATAGATGATTAGAGATAGGCAATAATACACTGCAAATAAGCAGACAATGTTTATCACTTGTATATAATAGTATATTTAGCAATAACAATACATAAGTTTAGAAATAACATATTAATATAATCAAAAGTTGGAAGCCCAACCAATAAGCATATTTTGTTGAACTTATTAATATAATAATATAGGTAGTTATATATTTCAAAATTTTCATAGAAAATAATTATATAAATAAATATTTTAGATCACATGTCCTACATAACTTGCATGATTATGGTTTGAGATTAAACTTTTAGAATTAACTGAAAAAATATTGAAAGTTATCAATTAATAAACATTATCGTATTAATATCCTGATGTATTTCCTGGCCGCCGGAAATCTGACATAGCTTCGATCATTCCTGTAGCAGATTTGCTAATAGCCGATGCTGCTGAACATTTAGTATAATTAACTAGGGATACTGGATGACCGATGTCTTTAAGTTTTTGTAGAACGCTCTAAAAATTAAACAAAGTTAATTTTGATTCAATTATCTTATATAGATTACATAACACTAAAAATATGCTGATTTTACCTTAGTCGTACGGTGTTCATAAAGAATTTCCATTGGTACAAGTTGGTGGTATATTCTAGGTTTGTCCAATACTTCTTTCAGGGTATTATTATACCATAATTTATGGGCAGCCATCTGAGAACAAAAAAAATGCATAGTTTATATATATTTATAGAGTTTATAAAATAATCTTTAAAAGATAATCGAGGTCGAAAAATTTGTAAAAATACTAAATAATTCTTCAGTAGTTTTAAGACTACGTTTAATTCTATACATTTTAAATACAATTAGATATACAAATTTGAAAATAACTAAATAACGTATCAGTTTAAGCTTTACACCACAATATAAATTCAATAGCATAAGTTAGAAAATCTTAATAAATAAAATGAAAATGTGATTTTGAATTTGAAAAGCTTTCGGGTTATTACCTATGCATATTATTATTAAAATACAAAATAGATCATGATTGTTGCATCTTACATTTTTGAGTATGCTGAGTCGAAAATAATATTTTTAAATATACTTGAATAGTGAATGAAAGTATAATAACTAAACAATACGCGATTATTATATGATTTATGCTATATGAATAAATATTATTACGCATTATGATTTATGATAACACCAATTAATAAAACATCATATCAATCGAATAATAATTAGGTATATAACATTCATATTTTTTCTAGGAACCTAGTCCAAAATTAGCAAAAAATATTTTTGGCCAATAATTGTAATGGTATAGACTAAAAATCCTAAGCGAAGGGAAAACCCGACAAGGTAAATCGTCCTACTTATATCATAGAAATCAAATCTTAAAAGAGAAAAAATAAAAAATATTATATGGAAATATAAATCTTACATATGCTGTAGTAAGAGTGATTTTAGATCCTCCAGCTGCTCCCGCTCCAAGAACAAAGTCACCATTTGCGTCGGTAAATATAGTCGGACACATTGAAGACATTGGCCGTTTGCCTGGTTTTATGTAATTGGTCGGTGAAGATGGGATCCCATAAAAATTTGTAACTCCAGGAGTAGAAAAATCGTTCATTTGGTTGTTGAAAATGATGCCAGTGCTAGGTGACACGAAGCCACTTCCAAAACTAATATGCAATTAATTGACATGTTAATATTCACACAATAAGTTTCTATCAGTAATACATTTTTAAAATGCATAACTTCATACTCACAATGTATTTACTGTACTGGTACATACAACAGTGTTCCCCATTGAATCGGTTACGACTATGTTAGCCGTACCGTGGTCTTCTGGTGTATAAAAATCACCCCCATAGTATCTTGGATCTAACGAAGTAAAATTATCAAGAATTTTATTTCTTATACTCTCGATGAAACTATCCGAGCTTACTTTATTGTAAATCTAAAAAATAAGACAAATTAATAAATTGTTATAATATGTATTTTACCACATTTTATACGGTTGCACAACCACATACTTCAGATACGTTCACGAACTGATGGTCTCCTAAATGGGATCGTTCACCATATCCAAATTTAAAAGCTTCTACTAACCGATGTTCGTCTAAACCAACATCAGGTGCCGGTAAAATGCCATCCAGTATACGGAGAATATAGGCTAATATTATACCAGAACCAGGTGGCGGTCCCAAATGTATTGTATGTCCACTTGTTAAGTTTACTGAAAAAGATTCCTCGATTTCAACCCTAGAAAATATCAGTTTGAAATTTATTTTATGTTCTGAGTAGGTAATTAATATGAAAGTATTAAAAATAAATTGCAGAACAATGTTTGAATTTCTTAAGTATACCTAATACAGTAATGCCACAACAAAACAGACAATTATTAAATTCAAGTTAAGTACCTACTCAGTAGGTACACTTACTTATAATCAGCGAAGTCTTTATTTGTAATAATACCATTGGCTTTTCTTAAATCGTGCACTAATTTAGATGTTAACGATCCGTTATATATTGCTTTTACACCTTCTATTGCTATTATTTTCAGGGTTTCTGCTAACTTCGGTAACTTATATGTATCCCCGGCTGACTTCAAGTATCCACTGTTTTCGTCGATAAAAATGTTTCTATATAAAAATGACCAACGGTTTATTTTATTAAGTTTTCTATAATACCATCAATTGGTGATGTTAATGTGCAAAATTACAAGTAGGTACGATTTTCTAATCTTCAATTTAGATAATTCTTAGTCGATTAAAAATAAAAAAGGGTCAATGAATGTTTTTAAGTATTGATTTTTAAAAAAAGGAAGATTTTTCATATAAGAAATGTTACCTAATAATATAATTTAATAGTAATATAACATTATAACGTCAGTAATAATTACCTAATTGTAATCAATAGTTTTGGTATACCTGAGCATTGTGTCATTATGTATCAACTTTTCATCAAACCGCAAGGAATAATGTAGATGATCACTGATCGTTATACCTTCTTCGCATAGTTTTATGGTTGGATCAAACAAAGTTTCCCATCTTACTCCGCCACCGTACAAGTTATATATGGCCGAGTAGCCTTTAAGGGCACCTGGAACTGCAACCGCCAGTCCACCTAGATTTTCAAAATTACAACTAATAAAAATGTGTTTTAATTTTTCGTAAACTATTTTATTTATTATTGTATTGGATATTCACTTAGTTCACAAGAACTGTTTAATTTAAAGTACGATTTATACGGATATAACTTTATACATGTGTATTGTTTGTATTCATGAAAGATTCGAAAAACATAAGACAATTGATTACACATGTGTAGCCGTGTAGGGCTTGGATTTTGTAGTAAAAAAATCCTTAAAAAAGCATTTTACTAAGCCAAAAAAGCAAAAGAACCTTTTATTAATTTAATTAAAAAAAAACAAATTTATAATACACATTAAATTAAATATTAAAAAATGAATTAACGACCATATATTTAGTCAAGTTACTTTCAATAATAAACTCATCTTATTCCACCAAAAGCAGCATTTGTTACAAAATCCTAGCCCTAAATATATGACACATCTACTTAAAACTGTTGTAAAGGTTAATACTTCAGGAGTTCGAAATAAACAATTTTAAAATTGCATGCATTTGGGTCTTGAAAATGTGTGCATAGTAAGTGATCATTAGTGTGTGAGACTATGTGTAAAAAAAATAGCTGAGCACTCCCATACGCCCATGTACAAAGTTACCTATAGGAATTTCGCTTGTAAACAATTTATGCACATTTGTATGTATTCTTTATCCATCCTACCAATAGACTTAATAATGCAATAATATTTTAAACAACTGATATGAATTCGTTTTAATGTCTTCTTGAGATGGGTCAGTCCAAATTTTAAGATTTCTGATTTAAATTCCGAATAATCGAGTTTGAAAATTCCGAAATTTAAAAATATTCAAAGTAAATTTATAGTTGTCAGGGAGGGGGGAGGGGGGTTTTAGATTGGAGAGTGTGGACCGACCGATGTCAATTAAACGTAATAACGAATTAAAATCAGTTTTAAAAACTATTATCTCAAAACTAAGTCGTTCTGTGTATTATAATGGACAAGAGATTGGTACATGTTCTGTCTAAAATAACTTTCTGCCACCGATCTCTTTAAGTAGCTTACATTGATGCGATTAGATAGGTTTATGTGTAAGTAAACTGTTAAAATAAGTGCATTTGAATCCTTTACGAATTTACAAACAAAAAAAAATCAGTGTTTTTGTAAACGGTTATTTGATTACATCAGTCCGAATTCAACATTTTTGTATGGCTAGACCGTCAATAATTTATACTCGTATATTTACTATTCAGTACATACCATACATGGATTTTGTGGGTTCATTTACAAACATGTCAGTATTTGCCGCGGCCGGAGCTGTTTCACGTGCATTGATTGACGTTACTTTTTTGGTCGTAGCGTTGTAAATGCTCATTATAAATCCACCACCAATGCCCATTTGCTGTGGACAAACGGCACCGTCGCATAACAACGTAGCTATCGCTGCATCTATTGCATTCCCGCCTCTGGACATCACATCCCTGTTCCGAAAACAAAAAAAAAAAAACGTAAATATTTTATGTCATGAAAATACTACAAAGTTATATTGTCTATTGTAGTAAAGCGAAAAAACCGTTGGGAAGCAATTGTCCGGGGTTCTTGTTACATAATAAGATGTTGTGAAGATATTGGTGTGTCTTTAGGAAGATAACATATTTAATAAGCGAATATTTTTTTAACCGAGTTTTCAAGCAAGTATTTTCACATTAATTTGTGATTAATTGAAAACTTGTGATGGTGACTATACAATTTTAACATAGTTTATATTGTTATGAAAAATACAAAATGGCCAACAGTCGTATTAAATGTTTAGTAAAATTTATATTACACTCCGATTTGAGAGCAGGGTCCTCCATTAGACACAACGCCAACCTTGCTGTAGACTCCCATCGGCAAACTGGATGGCGGTGGAGGGAGTTCCGGGTCCCAGATTTCATTTTTGACTATGTTCAGAGAATAAAATACGAATAACACAGCGATGGTCATCAATATAACTAATCCAGTAAGAAGGCTGCATCGTTTTGAAGGTAATCTAAAAAAACACAGTATATTGTTTATCGTTTAGAGGTTGCAATGGTGATGTATTTATATTAGGCACCGGTTGCTAGAGTACTACATATAGTACTACATAAAAGTTGACGACTCGTATTCGGTCATATAATCGGTAGCCAGGGACAAACTAAGTACTGTAACGAAAAAATCGTAGTACGCTGTTAGATATTTTTCATCAACGAGGAATGTTTATAGTTATGTTTTTTGATATGTTTTTGTTATAAAAATAAAATAAAAAAAAATTTTTTTTAGATTTCCTTTTTAGGGTATTTACATGCCTACCTAATTGTTAAATTTATTTTAAACAATTTTAAAAATCTTTGAAATATGCAAACTTACACCAAGCTGATACTTTACTTTGCATATTGGGAAATCTGAGTACCTATTCAAATAGATATATTTTTGGACTATATAGGTTTGTTTTTTATGATTTATTTTTCGTTACAGTACCTGGTACTGGGTTGCCCAGATTGCCCCAAGCAACCGATTCATAATATAAATGCGTTGGTGTATCAACCTATAAAACACATAGTTTTATATAATAAGTATCATTAGATGATTGTTATATCAGTAATCAGGAAGTATTATAAGTAAATCCTACGAAAACAAGTAAAATAAAATAAACGCAATTCAAAATTAGTTTATTTTATAATATGAACATCAACGTAGGTCATCTATTTGAAGCATGAAATGTATTTATTTTTATTTTTTATAGTTTTTTTATTCAATCTGTTACAAAATAAGAGAATAATTAGAAGAATTGATAAATTTAGATAGAAGAAAAAAATTTTAATTAAAATAAATGACGAATGCCCTCCCAGTATCCCTACATGCGGCTGAGCTTGAAAATTAACTTTAAAAGTATAAATATTTCCTATATTTCTTATTTTACCTATATGATAACGAATTATGAAGTGTGATTAAAAACGTTCTTGGGCTAGAACGCTAGGTTATACCATATACCAAAAATATATCTAATAAAAACAGTAAAATAATCATTTACATCAATGAACCAAATAGTAAAAACTAGTGTGTTTGTTGTTTACCTATAAAAATGTCATTAAAAAAAATTAATTATTGCAATATATTTTTACATTTAGCATAATAATTTCAATCAAAGCTAACTATGTCAATTTACCTGATGATCATAATGATGATTTTTTTCTCTGAAGATTTGACAAATAAATGTGTTCAATTTAAAATCAATTAAGTTATGATAACAATAATTTTAACGAATATTTTGGTGCTTCTAATTAAATGTAATTACTTATGCGATTCTGCACGATATGTATGATATAGAAATTTACACTGACACTACCGAAATGAAAGTTAATGGTGTAAATATGTCTACAATATAACTAATCAACTGAAATCATACATGCATTTATATATATATGTTTAGGGGGTACTTGATATTTAATTGGACATTTAAAAGTCATAAAACAGAGAATCCGATAGGTATTAAAATAGCAAACAATTTAAGCCAAAATGATAGGTATAATTAACAATGTAATCACTACAAATTTAAAAATTATTTATCGTGTTATATTATAGACACTATATATAATATTATATATATATCCAATAAACCTATAAGTACAAATATACTTATAAAACAATAAAACGAAACTGCTATACTACCTAACCTTATCATAGGATAATCCGTAGTGAATCTTACTATATCTAAAGTATGCATAGTACCTAAAGTACTTGACTCTTCTTCAGGATATAGTGGTGGACATAGACGAGTGAAATACGGCGATAATGTGGCCCGTGCCATGAACCTATAATCGTATTTTATTTCGTTGTGATTTATTTCATTTTAGATTTTGAATGGAGCCATGAATGTATTGATTTTACAGTGATGTGTGTTTTATTTTTTTTGTGTGTCTATCATCAACTTTTGGAGCAGTAAAAATGCTTCATTACTTCAGCTTCTATTCTGGTAGAAAAGCGGTTCACATTATTGTTGGTAAAGGTAACATTCGAATTTGGAGGGTCAAACGTAAAAAAATTCTCAATAATTTTCAAAAGAGAAAAACTAAAAAAAATGAAGGAAAAACAGTAATATTTACATACAACTAACTTTCGACAAAAGTGATTTTGTTTTTCGGTGTAACTCAAAAATAAATAACTTTAGATACTTTAAATGTTTACCAAATATTTATAAGACCATTTTCAATGTATGCTCGAATTTTCAAAATACTCTAACTTTTTTGAGTTACTTAAAGGCATGAGAATTTTTCGTTTTTTTGCGAACTGCAATATCAAAAAACATATCATGAAAAATAAAAATATGTACTTGACGTAAGCTGACGATCTGTCTTGGCTCAGAATCGTTTTTCATATAAAATGATTTTATATCGTTGAATTTAAACTTAATACATCCATTGCAGTGACTCACGTGATACCTACCTATATTGTGCAGGAAAGCGGTACCCACTTGTCCACCTTTTTTAAATTTACTATGACGTAAATACATGTAATGTTTATTATACACTGATGTAGAATGATCAAAGTATGCATGTATGATATTTTGATTTAATCCTATTCAAAATTCAAATATCGTGATTAATTATCAAGGTTTATAGATAATAATAGAAATATAATTATATTATCATCACCTATATATTACAACAATTTCGAATATTTTATGTATACCTTTATAAGAACAATAAGTTATTCTGGCAATTTGAAAGACATGACTTTTTTAAGTAGCTCTCAAGCATAAAGTGTCGTATTAATTAATGTTGTTCATGCACTAAAATTTATCTAAAAAACGTCTCCACACTATGTTTGCAAAAAAGTATAGGTTCACATTAGAATTTCTAAAATTAACCCCCCCCCTCCCCCCAAACAACAAAAAAACCTCCTTAAAATATTGCAAAAAATTATAAAATTATGAAAACATAATAGATGTGTCTAAGTCAAAAAACTTTTGTACCATATATTTTTCACTACCTACTTTGAATATTTATATGATAAAATGGCTGTAACATAAATTTTGAATCACACTGTATAATTATTGTAATATTATATATTATGTATTGATTATCATGTACACGCCCAGTATGTATTATGATGACCTCTGTCCGTTTAAATAATAAAAAAAAAATGTAAGTACTATCATTTATTAACTTAAAACTTTGATAAATTTAATATATTGTAAATTTAATTAATGGTAAAAATCATCACTTATCAAATTCATAACCTTCAGATCACTGAGATAGATAGCAATGTACTGAATTTATGGAGCACTATTTCCACGATAACACATAAAACGAGCCATCTCAAAATATGTGAGTACCCAAACTATAGGATACTTAGTTATTGAACAGCTGAGTCCGAAATTTTACATTTTGTAATGGTAACATTCATTAAATTTAAACATAAAAATATATACCATTTGTTTAATATTTCATTTAAAGTACTTTAATTGGAGTGTTTTAGTTATCCTGAAAAGTTAATGAATACAAATCTAGCCCCCTAATGGTAAGGTCGATTACTGTAATTTGTAATAGACTCCAATTTTAACATAACTATATGTTTTTGGGCTGAATACACGATAAAATATTTCTGACCGATTTTTAGTAAGATTTTTGTTTTCATAGTTACTTATCGACAAAAACATATTTATAGTTCATAGACTTTCTTTTTAGAGGAAAAATATCGATATTACTATGGTTTTTTCGTTATGTCATAATAGCACCCAATCTTTTATTTTGCAAATTAGAGCACTAATTATTGTGCATTTTTCGGTAGTGACCTAATCTCTCCACTGTACTGTGTTAGAAAATCCTCCCCCACCCCCCCCCCCTTAAATGATAAATCTTATGAACTCCACCGGTGTATGTGTGAACCAGACAAATAATTACGCACCACATAATATTATGTTTAACATTTTAAACTATATAGTATTACTATTGAAATCCCTTATATTGTATCATATCATTTGATGAGTAGTTGTATTCTGTGTTGGATACTTGGATATAATATATTGTATGGAAATGGACAATGGATAATGGATGTACTCAATGTCGCAAGCTAATTATTTAAACTGCTGATAATGGGATTTCAGTGGCTAAGCCACAATAACGTGTGCCAATAATTATATGTGTGTGTTTGTGTTAGAGAATTATAGGAGTAGCCTAATAATACAATAGTGATTCTAATTTTTTGTACCTAAGTAAGATCCTATATAAATAAGCGTCTACTTCAGTTGAATGGGTAATCATACTATTATTGCAATAACAATATTGATTGACATAATAATTATGATGGATATACTTAATTAAATGATATATAATAGCCCTTATCGAAGAACTAATCTCCTTTAATACAAGGATCATTTTATAATACATTAAAATAAGAATAACAATAGGTAGCACATGTATCTGTCTCAGCATGAAATAGGCTACAACAATTATGTACCAAGAGATAACCTAATCTAACTTAACCCAGGACTTAAAACCTGTTTTTAAAAAATCGGTTACAACCTACAACTGGTTAAAACCTTGGTCTTTCGTCGTAACCAAAACTGAAAGCCATTTTATATTAAATTAATTGTATGAAAAACTCAAACCAAAAAAAACCATTTAAATTTGAATTGGTTTCAACTTTTAGTATTTCACAGCCATTATTGCACTATATTAGGTAGTTTGGTCTTCATACAATTTCATATTTAGTAGGTAATTAAGCAAATAAATGTAAAAATATACAATTCTTGATGAAATAAACTCAATCCACATTTTGCGTTAAGTGTTTTATCTTTATCATGAGTGTGTTTATGAGTGGTCTGAGAGAGAAAACAAATATTGCTCTGACATCCTCTTAAAATCTTAGATTATTAAATTAGTAATTTACTAGATTAATTCTATAATAGAAATTACCACACGAACACATCGAAATGTGTCAAAATGTCGCTCGTCCGCCCTCAAATAAAATTTCACTGTGAGCACATTATTTTTAGTAATAAACTCAAGATTGTTAACCATGTCTAACCTTGGTGTGATTTTCCAACAAAATCTAATGTTTTCATCTTTATGCTTTCACCATTATAGGTAAAATCTGTTCCAAAGCACTAAGAAATCTTGGTTTTATAATTAGAAACACAAAAGAATTCACTAATGTAGTCTACCTAATAACAGTTTATATTTAAATTATTAGACCATTAATCGATATTGCTCGGTATTATGGAACCCGATGCAAATAGGTTTGGCTGAATCATTCGAACTAGTTCAAAGAAGATTTTTGAGATACATTGGTTACAAACGTCAAGGTATTACTGGTGAACTTTCCACATCCTTATATATATACCTCTAACTACGATTCAAGAGAGCCTCCACTTGGAATGTCTGGACAAAACACGACGAAGCATTGATATTTGCTTCATGTCCAAACTGGTAAACGGAACTTTATCTTTTCCTGATCTTCTGGATCTAGTACAGTTTAATGTCTCAGTCCTGTCTTATACCTTGTCCATAAAACACCACCGAATATCATATGGTTTTAATACCCAATCGATCACATTGCACGAGAATGCAATCGATTAGAAAACTTCGACATATTCAATATAAAATGCCTGTCATCCCTAAAATTATAAACCTAATTTATGAACCTAAAATTTATATTTATATATATTTCTTTTAATTTTCGTTGCAAATTTTATTAGGTACCTAATTAAGTACTAATATCAATCAATATGTTCTTTTTACTTTACTACATAATAACCGTAAATTTATGTATTCTTATATTGTACTTAAGATTTCACAGGCGTTTAAACAAATAAATTCTATAGTACCTACTTAGTATATAAAACTTACAATTTCAAATGATTGGTATTTTAAGAAGTGTAAAATCCAATTGTGGTCATAACATTTTATTTACTAAGTAACCGACTATTTGATGTTTTATTCCAGTTCCTTAATAACCGAATTAGTTATATAATATTATGACATATTATGCAATATGCAGTGTAATTTTCAATTATTGTTCAATGTTAATACTGAATGAATATTATTATCAGTAATAATTTATGAATTATTTTCAAAGAACAAAACTGCACTTCATATTGTATAAAATACACTAGTTTTAAGTGAATATTTTTTATTTAAAATATCATTGTAAATGCTTTTTTTGATTATTGCAATTTTTAAATTTTAAAATACAATCAAAGTACATCTGAATTAGAATATGTACACAATAAATTAACTGAAATTAAATCTATAAAGTCAATATCCAGATATGTTCCCTTGTTGTCTGAAATCAGACATCGCCGTTATTATTCCTTCAGGTGTCTTGAAAATTCCTGTTACTGCCGATTTATCTTTTTTCATCATTCTCCTCACTTTATGACCAACAT